AATGTTGACGGTACTTTTACACGGGCTTACGAGGTGCCCTCCAAGTGGATTAATGCAGCTCTAATAAGTCTGCGGGATTTCTCAACCCATGTTACGGGTATTCGCTTCAGCACAAATGATACGTAAACACTGGACCCTTACTCGCTGAGAGCGAAAAAAACTCGACCTCAATATCGCTGTTGTCTCCAAATAATCTCATCAGCTCTGTTTTTACGCTTTTACTTTTGTCAATGAGAGTTTCTGTGCCAACAGCAAGAAATCCAATCGATGACGGTTCAATCTAAAACAACTGGAAGTACTCGCGAAGAAGAGTTTCTCATGGCTTCGAGCAAATGTGGAATAGTAATATCAATCCATAAGGGGAATCGTCCCTTCCCACTCACATAATATTTTCGCAATAGTGCATCTGTGACAGTGAGCGAGATGGACACGACGTCCTCATTGTCTGCACAAAATCCCATCTGATCCTGTCCAAGTCCAACAGTGTACTTTCCTTTGGAACAATTGTCAAACTGAAAGCCATCGATACAGAAATCCCCAGGTTATGGCACTATTGAACTATTACCCCAAAACTAAAAAAAATTCCGCTGAAACGTTGCCTATAGGTGTAATTCGATGCGCTGATCACGAATATCACATCCGTTTCGAGCGCTGGCGTCATTTGGCGCCATTATGCGCCAATTTGGCGCCAAATGGCGCCAGCGTTTGAAACCAGTGTGATATTCGTAATCAGGATGTCGATTAACCCCCATATGCAAGTTTTCATCAACTTTGGTGAAAAAGTGGTGGGCGCCAAATTGGCGCATAATGGCGCCAAATGACGCCAGCGCTCGAAACGAATGTGATATTCGTGATCAGCGCATCGAATTACATCTATAGGCAACGTTTCAGCGAAAATTTTTTTGAGTTTTTGGGTAGGAATAGTTCAATACTGCCCAGGTTATTTATTATTCAAATTACCTTCTCAAGATCAGTTTGATTAACAACGTTCTTAGGGAAGTATATTTCAATAGCGCTAATCCCAACATCCTGTATAGGATGCACACCCGGCGACATGCTCGAATCACGAAGGAGTTATAACTGCAGAAAGCTGTATAAGTTTAAGACTACAGAGTACACAACCTCAAAGAAAAACGTGAAAGTGCCGTCGAAGATTCGCTGATACCCCAGCCTTCGACATGACGGAAACTTAAATTGATTGTGTGTATTTGCAGCCCAGACTTCCGAGTTACAGTAAACTCCA